CCAGGAGGGGTGACGTGACCCCTAAGGTGCAGCCTTGCCCTGTCCCCAGGCACTAGGGTGCAGGGAGGGGGACCTGGCGCCCTCCAGTCTGATGGCTCTCAGTTAACACAGGGCTACTCACTCCATTTCTGGCCCCATCACCCCCCTGCTGGACCCCCCTCAGGTGATGCAAGGGGAGGAGCCCCAAAACGATTCACTTAAGGGGAAGTTTGCTGGGGGCTGGGGGGCAGAGGAGACAGTGCGCAGCTAGTTTCATTGAAAGGAAGGCCTACAATGAACGCCCCTCACAAGTTTCCCTTCTCTGCCCGCTCAGCCTCCTTTCTGGAACATCCTTCTCCGCTGTCCGGGACGCCCAGCAGCCTCTCCCGTGTCTGACATGAAGGGGGGGAGCAGGAGCAGGAGCGGGTGCAGCTCCAGCAGGGCACTGAGTGCTCTGAGCCATGCCCCTGGGAAAGCCGGGGAAGCCGTGCAGGCAGCTGAGGAGCAGGGGGCCGGAGACCCCAACTGGGGCATGTTAGGCCATCCTATCGGTCATCGGACCAGGGAACCCGGGCATGGAGGCCACACCCGCCTGCAGGGAGAAGGGACCTGGAATCTTCCACCAGCAGTGGCTGTAATTAGGGTTCAGCCGAGGGCCAGTCTTCCTGGCCAAGGAGCAGTCTGCAGTGTTCTGCGCTTGGCGGGAGCGGGCCTGCCTGAGCGGTGTCTTTAGTCCCTGGAAGAATCGGTGTCTCGTACGCACACGATGAACGGAAACAAAACCTCGCTGTTAGTGTGGGCACCGTGGTACATCGGAAAGTAATCCATGTACGAGCACATTTCGTATGTTAGGTGTTTGAAACGTTGAAGAGAGTCTGACATCATCTAACAGGAAGACTGACAGGAGGAGACAGATGGCTCTCCCCACGGGGGCTCCTCTGGCCTCCGGTTCCCTGGAATCTACGCTTTCACCACAAAACTTCTCCTCAAGGATTCCGCATATTTGATTGGAAAGTAAACAGGGAAAGGATTCAAGATGGGCAGTCGCGGCAGGAGGACATGTGCTAAGCTCTCTCTGTGCTCATGAGCACTTATGTTTGCGATGATAGTCACAGAGCACGATTTAGGTTCAGTATCTGCGCGTGAAGAATGCTTGGTGTAAACATCAGAGACGGGCACTAGCCCTCTATCAAGAAGTTGGAGGGGGCGTTCCTAGGGCTGGCACACAAATTCAGCCAGTGGGGGCTCCAGGCTGGCATTTCTGAAATTCTTGGGGCCTTCCCCTCATGGCTGCAGTGTGGCTGCAGCAGCACCAGACATCACATTGTCTCTTGATAATATTCACAGCAGGAAGGAGGCAAAGAGAAAATGTTCTCTTCCTTCATCAGGGGCCAAATCTTACCACACTGTTTCTGCAGTGTATGGCAGACTCGCTAGCCATGCCTGCTTCAACCTCTCATAGTTAGTTTATATCCTGGAGCTAGGTCCGGCTGCCGGAACAGACTCGGGTTCTACTCGTAAGAATGAAGGAGAAAGGGCTGTTAAACAGGCACCCCAGGTGCAAGCTGCCCTGGCGATGGGGGTTGAGCCCGTCCTCATTTCCACGGAACGAGGAGCTTCATCTGCAATCCTCATTGGCAGGCCCTCTGGAGCGGGAGGGCCCTGCTTCCCCGAGCAACACTTTCCAAGCGCAGGGTAAGGCCACGTAATGGATTCCCTCCTAAGACCCCTCCGGTTTATCTACCCAGCGAGTCCCCCTCCTCCATGTGCCCGAAACAGCCACGATGGGGAAATGGCAAGTCCTTCCCAACTCGGACGGTTCTAGGCCTTAAGTGAGAGACAGCGGGTCCTGGCCACGAGGGACGACAAGAGGAGAGGAGCTGTGCCCGTTTTCTCCCAGCCACTTACAGGAACCGAGGGGTCCACGGTGATACGCATGATTCCCAAAGACAGCTTTTCGGAAGGCGTGGCCCCCTTGCGTGCCCTTCCCAGCCTGTGTTCTTGTGGATTTGTGGCACATCCACAGGCAGCACTGCGTGACCAAGACCTCGTGCCCAAGCCTCCTGACCCCCGACATCGGGCCACCGAGGGGCAGCGGCATTTTCATGTAACACGGAATGACAACAGAGAGACGGCATTTCCAGGCAACTGCGGGCCTGGGCAGATGCCAGGCTTTGGAGGTGCAAAGGGAAGCAGGTCGTCAGAACGTGGGACCAGGCAAGGGTGTGGGGCAGACGGACCTCTCCCAGCCTTTGCTCTTCGCGGCTCAGCGAGAGAAATGACAGAAGTAATAGAACAAGCTTGGAACAGGCTTTGCTCTCTTCTGAGTCACCCGGGGACGGAGGATGGAAAATCCCCACTCTCCCTCTCCCTCGTTCCCAAATGGGAACACGGGCTGCTCGGAGAGGACAGCACAGCCTGGGGTCCGCGACCAGCTGGCAGGACACCTGGGCCATCTTGTGTGGTGGCTCGGTCTCTCCGGGCTCTGGGTGCTCCCTGCCCAGCACAGCCTTCTCTTGGCAGGCCTCGGAGTGCCGAAGCTAGTGAGCCTTGAAGGCTGGTGGGGGCGTCCGCTTGGGGCGGCTCATCCCGAACGAGCCTTGCTGTGCTGTGCACTCAGCAGAGTCTATCACCACCAGATAAAACTGCAGAACAGCTGCCCCAGGCCCATCACCCTCCCTCCCTCCAGAACCATCTATGTGTCTCTCTTACTGCGACACAATGCTGTGCCCGGGGACTTCTGCTTCCCTCCCTCAGGGCTCACAGCTCCACAGGTCACAGACCTGCGCACCTCGGACCCGGAACCCGCCCTCTGCTCAGCAGCAGCTTGTCCACCCCCCAGCCCCCAGCGGAGGCGAAACCCAGCTCCAGTGACTAACAAATGGTAAATGGTGCTCAGATGAGTTCGGGGAGTGATGAAGAAACAAGGGAGGGGGAAGTCCTAGCACACACAGGGGACATCTTAGCTGCTGCTAAATAACACACTCATATCAATACATGATTGAGAAACCAGGAAACCAACACAAACCGTCTATGTCCTCTGAACATCGCTGCCTGGCAGCTACTGATCCCTGGAAAGGCAAAATGCTGACGTGCACACGAGTAAGTCGTGCTCTGGCAAAGGTCACAAAGTGTGTGCCCCGAGTCCACCTTTCTGGGGCTAACTCAACCGAACTGCACCCGCTGAACCTGTCTCAGCACGATCCCTGGAAACTGTCCACACCTCTGTAAGGGAGAGCTGCCGTATTCTAGACGTTTCCAGGAAAAAGAAGCTGACCTCTGCCCAGGAAGTGGTTATCTTAATCTGCTCAGGCTGCTGCAGCAACAGTACCATAGGCTGCGGCTTAGACGCATGGGTTACTCACCGTCCTGCAGCCTGGGGAGCCCGAGGTGAAGGCGCCGGCAGATTTGGGGTCTGCTGAGGGCCCGCTTCCTGGCTCCTAGGTGGCAGCCTCTGCTGTGTCCTCACGGCGGGGGTGAGGGCCTCTGGGGCCCCTTTTATAAGCACACGAATCCCATGGGGAGGGCGCCGCCTCAGGACCTCATCACCTCCCAGAGGCCCCACCTCCAAGAGCCACCACCTCGAGGATAGGTTTCGATGTCTGACTTCTAGGACAGGGGCGCTGCGTGCCCAGCTGGAAAGAGCAGCTGGGTTTGCAGCCAGCGGAGCTGGGTGGGGATCTGGGCCCTGTTCCCCAGCTGCTGTGCCATCTTGGGCAAACCACTCAACTTCTCTGAGCTTCAGTTTCCTCGCGTGTCCAGTTGGGATCATTTCAAGTGGATCCAGGGCTGGCACAGAATAAAGGCCCGGGAGACAGTGAGCTCTGACACAGGGTGACATGTTTGTGCTTTTGGCAAGGAGTGTTTTGCTCACGGGACGGTAAATGACTTCACCTCACATTCTAGAAGCGTCCACCCGCCTCTTATGTGTCAGCCGCCGTGGACACAGATGGGAGGAAGTGTGAATGCTGACCCCCGGAGCTCACTTTCCATCCCACCGAGGTCTACAAGAAAGAAAAGCCACCCCTCCCCCCGCTCCAAAAACAAGCACAAGGAAAGCCTGTTTCATTGAACACGATGCCAACCAGACTGCGGGGGATGAGCGCCTGCTTCCCAGCCAGGTGGGGTCTGAACAGCCACATGGACCCCTGTGGCTGCCTTGAGTCTAACCACTCACACCCCCAACACACAACACACACACACACACACACACACACACACACACACACGCACATTCCAGGCTCTGCTCACTGTTTCCACATGATGAGGTCCAGGTCCCACAGCAGAGTGTGAGCAGCCTCAACCCAACGCAGAACTGTGGCCCCGCCCAGCGACCCACACCAAGCAGATCACTGGCCCATGAGCAGAGCTGAAGTTTCCGGGGACAGTGTCAGCTAAGGCCAGGGGACCTGGCTGAGCCCCAGCACACAGTCTCTCCGGCCATTCAAGACTTCCGGCTGGACCTCCAAGTCGAATGCTTGGATGTCTCTGAAAACTGACAGCTCTCGGAGACAGACACGAACCAGCATGTTTCTGTTCTCCACAGCCCGGAAGCAGAGAGGTGCCTAACAGATGGAAGATGGATAATGGGAGAGGGAAGAGGGGCTTGCTTACAAGAAATATAAGCAAGCTGGTATGCAACCTGGACGGACCGAGAAAGGTCAACCTTTAAAGCACAGGAGGGGTAAGGCCGCCTCCCCGGGAAGCAGGGCGTGTCCCGCCTGGGAGGAGCACACCCAGGCAGGAGCTGGACAGCAGCTGCTAGCCACACTGCTCTTCTGATTCCCAGCCCCTGGGGAGTGTGAGTGGAAGTGGCAAGTTCCGCTGCTGCCTCAGCTCCCAGAACCCCCTCAGGCAAGTCCCCCCCAGGCTTGATCCCCTGCAGGCTGGATGGAGATGGGCTCAGGGGCTCCTGCAAGCACACAGGCAGTGGCTCTGTGACTGCCCCAGGGCCGCCCCACCCACCCATTCCCTGCCCCGTTACTTCAGCAAGAAAGTTCTTTTGTGTGTGAGCCATCGAATATTTTTAGGTCTATTTATTACAGAAGTAGCATTACCCTAATACAATCATTGCTAAATGGCCATAGTACATTTATGCTATAATTGCACATCATTTGAATCACCGCAGGAATGTCCTTTTCTCTTGATTCTAAATTTCAGAAGTGAAAGGTAAGAAGTTAAAGTTGCTGCAAGGCAAAGGATAAAAACATTGCGAGGTAGTCGGTAGTGTGGCTGTCAAATGCCAGGTTTCCCACCTACAAACAAGCAGGGTGCGCGATTCCCCGTCTGTACAGTGAGCGGAAAGCCAGGCAGGCCCGCCCCTCGGCCGGGGTCAGCAAACGATGCCCGGGGGCCGCATCCGGCCTGCGCCTGCTTCTGTACAGCCCTCGAGCTCAGGATGTTTGTACGTTTTTAAAAACAGAGAAGAATATGTGACTGAGACCATGTGCAGGCCGGACAAATCGTCACCCGCCGGCCCTGCCTTACAGGGTTGCTGTGAGGGCCACCACAGTGCAGGCCAGTGCCTGGCTCAAAGGAAGCAAGCAAGACAAAGTGATGCATGCACACAGCCATTAGTGTTTTCAAAAATCAACTGCCACGTGACGGGTTCCTCATTTCCTCTAGGTGAACAGTCTCCCCTTCCCTCCCAGAAACAACAAACATCTTGATTATTATTATGGACACAAGATCTTTCAAATGAAAAGTTGCTGGCAGTTCAAGTTCATGACCGAGAGAAAGGAGTAGCTCCCTTGATAGCAAAGGGACCTGCTGGCAGCAGAACATGGAGGCGCGACTCCATCTAACGCGTCGGGGAAGACCGCGACATTTGACGTTGTGAGTTAGACATTAAGTAGGTACGGAAAGAGAGTAAACTGACTCGGCGACAGGACTGGGCGCTGGCTGTCGCAAGGGAACACTGTTGCTGGGTAAATGCACTTGCAATGGAGATCTACGACAGGGTTCAGGCAGAGACAACAAAAGCCGGCCTTTCAGAATCCGACTGGGTGGGTGACGCTCGGCAGAACTGGTCTCACAACGACACGGTAGAGATTAGTGTTGGGCGTGACTGGTGTCACCGAGACAGCGTTTCCCAGAGGAGGTCTGTGCACACGGGACCCTGGGACACCACGGGCACGTGTGCCTGTCCAGGGGGACGTCCCAAGCTGGGACGTCAGGAAGGCAGGCGCAGCACACACTCCTGGAGTCACAACGCGCCGCAGCACTGCAGGGCCCGGGTGACTGTTTAGCCCACGACAGTTTCCTCCCACACGATGCGCGGTGACATCGCGGAGCATCAGCACTCGGCAGGACATTCTGGTCGGGCGGCCTGTCGCGCAGCTTTCGGGTCCACATTAACGACACACCGAGAACCTGGGCTTCCCTCAAAGCTTTTGAAGTTCTCGTTTTACAAACACACACTTTTAACAGAACTGAAAAGCTGCAGTCTTTCCATTATAACCAGATACTCGCAAGATTCCTCGAGAGCTTATAAAACTCAGGTTTGGCAGGTAAATCTCAGTTTAAAGATACCCTGTCCACTCACCAATGTCAGAAGTTTCAGCAGAGCAAATTTTTGATCAGAAGAGATGGGAAACATTCTGCGACAGGGCCTGGCAGGGCCTCTGTCCTGGGACAAACTCGGCCAGGCCCTTCATGTGGTGTTCCCGGAGGAGTTCCATTTATTAATCATTGTATATATATAAAAAAAAAAATCTTGGCTTTCATTGGAAGAGAAAAGAAGTTACTATATCCAAATATTTAATATTTTAACATTGCAAAAGTTCTACTTTTATAACAGGGTTTTTCTTAAATGGAGAAAACTTTGGAAAAATTTTAAAAAGAAACTTATGATTTATTAGAGTACAGGTTCCAAAACCACATTTTTAGAAAAATATAAAGTGCCCAAATACCACTTACACAGGTGACAGAGGCCTCCTGGAGCCAGATGAAGCATCCGTGAAGAAACATTTAAAAACAGTCTAGATACATATTTACACGGGTCACTAAAGGGAAAACCATCTTATCTTTCTTGGCCTCGATGTTACTCTACGAGAAAAGAAGTCAAACCGGAAAACCAACAAGCATAATTCTCAGCATGCTCCACGGTTTCTCTGTAATGCACCTGGTTAACATTTACTCCACAGTTTCTCATTTTCACCTTTAAATGAGTAGTGTGAAAGCCCCCGGCCTCAGGCAGGCGGGTGCTGTGAGTGGTCACAATTTCAAATGCAAGTCCTAATGGTCTGACTGTGGATTTGATGAGGACCATGGATACCGGGTGATAGCGAGTTCAGGCTGGAAGGGGCAGGCTGGCCAAATCGCCATCGTTTTCTAACAAATGCTTATTAACTCAGCCGTCACTTGCTAGAGTCTCGGGTAGCGTCCCCAAACCTCAGTCACCTCAGGGCTTATTAAGGACCAATGGAAGGCAGTCATCCAACATGGTATGAAAATCCTGCACTCAAATGAGCACAGGCAGCAAGAGTGACTGGATCCCTGCCCTCCAGAGCCTCAGGCATTAGATCAACTGGATTCTCAGACTTAGAGAGTGACGTCCGTCATGAGGCCCTAACTCCAGACACCAGCCTCGACTGGTGAACTACAAGACTAGCTGGCAGGAGACCTGGCGGTTGTGGTGGGAGTTCCAGAGCTGCACAGAGTGGAACTGTCAGTGCTCGGTTACTAAGAACACGGTGGGGGCGGGAGGGGGGCGGGCTGAGTGAGCGGTCCGATTCCCCAGGGGACTCGGAGTGCAGGCTTCCCCCGGTGCCGTCACGGCCATGGCGTCAAGAGAGCAGACGACACTCGTTTCTTTTGCCGTGGACCAGACGCTCTTAAGATGAAAGATGTGTTACTTGCTATACCCTGCCACACTCAGAGAGGTCTCCATGTGACACTCAGAAATGACGGGGGCACGGGACCTCCTCTTTTCATTTTTGAGGTTCATTTTTCTTCTGGTTATAGAAGTGAAGTCTCATTTTTAGGTCTTTGAAGACCTCGAAGTATAATTTCTAAAAGCAAACATTTTAACATCAGATTGTACTTCCTACTATGAAGAGAAGCCATCACTGATTTAAGACCTACTCATGCTACTGGAGAGTATTAACATAAAAAAAGTTACTTTAAAGGGAGGAATAGTAGATGAACATGGAAAAATCCATCACCAAGGCCATTATTATGCATTTCCTCAAAGAATTCCATGTAACAAAGTGGAAAACTAATGGTTCATAGCGACAGGAGCGTAAATCCAAGAGGGAAAACTGTTATTCTTCTAATTCAAATACAGACAAAGACAAGTGCCTGAAATCGGTTTCACACATTAGAAAAAATAAAGGCAAACGATTCTGATTAGCACTACATTGCTCATCTCCAAGATGCTGCCAAACTCACTTAGCTTCACCTCTGAATAAGCAGCTAAATTCAGGCTGAAAAGACCAATGACCCTGACTCAGGACTGCGCCTGGGCCACAGAGAAATCAGGGAGGAATCGTCGCAAACGTATGAGCCCGTCGCCAGCAAATGAAACGTCGAGATAAGTGCGAGACAGACTACTGAGAGGGAGCTAAGGAACGATTAGACTCGTGTCGACTGTGAGCCCTCATGAAGACAGAACGTCACAGACTGTCACCACAGACAAGCAGACAAGCCATGCCACCGAACAGGCCTTGCCAAGGATTCACTAGTGGAAGCGGAGAGCGACATTGTCTTTGCAGCTGAGGAGAGCACGGGCCACTTCCCCTGGTGGGAGGCAACCAGCACTCCGGACCAAGGGGCTGCCTGGTGGTCATGTCCAAAGGGACCCAGGGACTCCTGGAGTCCTGTTCTCCTGGAAGTAGCAGCAGCAGCAAAGGCACAATGTCCTCTACTGGCCTTTACTCTGCGTTCTCCTTCTTCGCACTGTAAATGTTCTGCACCGTTTCGTAGACAGACTCCAGATCCTCCGGGTAGCGGAGCTCCAGCTCTGCGTTCGGGATGTAGTGGGTACCAGTAAACTCTGAGAAATAGCGTCCGACATCGGGGTGCGAGATTTCTTGAGGCTCCACATTATATTCCAAGTTTTCTGTTGAAAAAGAGGCACATTCTCGTTAAAATGGATTTTCTGCGGCATCTCTTATCCAGAGTACTTCCTAGCAACCGTTTCCCAGTAGCATTTTGAGGTGGAGGGAAAGGAAAGACAGAGATGTTTGTGGAATGTACAGGAGTGAACAGGAAAAAGGCAGCGAGTGGCCATGGGGGAAGGAGGAATGGTGGCCTGGGGCCCCAATAGCTCCACATGGAAGATAGTACTTCCCTAGTCTCTGGGCAAGGCGTCTGGCTCCAGCCACGCTCCGCAGTCTCCTGGGGCCGGGCAAGCAGAGACTCCCCACGTTCCTCTGACTCGATCTGACACAAATGTGAGGACAGGGAACCCTCGCCGGCTCCGGTCACTAGCGGTGACGCGTCGGAAGCCCCACACCATCTGGTGACCACTCGCAGGCCGGTGTCCGTCCTGTCTACTAGTGTGAGCCCCTCCACACGCCCACAGCTCCGTCCTCTCCACACCGCGTGCGCCTCTGAAGGCGAGTGCTGCACAGGGGGCAGGAGGCCCGGCGGGAGGAAAGCAGTGTGGTTATGACATCTGCATACGCTCCTGAAATCCACGCTCTCTCCACACCCTGTTCTCTATTCACTACCAGACGAAGAAATAAAAATAAGACCCCTTTAAAATGGAATGATAACAGAACAACGATGACAATGCAGGTGAGGTTTTTGTTTTTTTAAATATATTTTTATTGATTTTGAAGAGGAAGGGAGAGGGAGAGATAGAAACATCAATGATGAGAATCATTGATCAGCCGCCTCCCACAGGCCACACACTGAGGATCGAGACCGCAACCCGGGCATGTGCCCTGACCGAGAATCCAACTGTGACCTCCTGGTTCACAGGTCGATGCTCAATCACTGCACCACAACGGCTGGGCCAGACGGGGTATTTTAAAGGCTGAAATCCTTTTAGGTGGTTTCTCCCCAAAAAACTACTTGAAAAACAGCTCTGCGTGGGCCCCCACCTGGGAGAAGCAAAGCCTCACCCCTCATGACCGGCACCAGAAAGGAGCTGGCCAGGCTGCTCTGACCGTGTTCCAGGCAGTCTCGGTTCCCTGGAGCACGAAGCCACACTTTGTACAGCTTGTCACTGGAATTAATGCAAGTTAGTCTCTGCACAGGCCTGGCCAATGGGCTCACTCACCCACAGTGCGGCACCTCACCCCAAAATGTCCTGAAATGCACTCAGGACACTTGGTCCCCCCGCCCAGGACAAACACCAGGTTCCCTCAGCATTACTCTTGACAGCACCCACGGCAGGTCACCGTGTAAATACATGATGGCGCATTAACTCAGCGAAACACCGGGCAGCCAGGACAATGAGCAATGTGCTGTCGAGATCCGCTGGAGGAACCCGGAGTACAAACATATGCTACTTAGAAAGTGCCTGGAAGGCCACACAGCTAGGCTGCCACATCACAAGGCATAGCTAAGGTGTTTTATTTTCTTATTTTTAAATATATTTTTGATTTCAGAGAGGAAGGGAGAGAGAGAAAGAAACAACTGGTTTATTTAATTGGAGCTTAGTATTCCTTAGTTTGGATGTACCCCAATTTCCCAGGAAGTCCTTGCGAATGACACTGGTTTGCGATAAGAAGGGACCACAGGCCCCCTGGCGAGCGTGTCCCGAGAGGAGGGACTGAGGACGGAACTGACACGTCAGAGGAGGGTGACACTTGAGATTTTCACAATTTAAACGAGAGCACCAAACGGCCCTTGGAAACAGCTGAAATTTTACACCCCCGTCCTGATGTAGGGTCCTCACACAAGTGCCAGCGTGTGCAGACGGCCACGGACTGTGTGTGGGGTGTGGGGTAGGGGTGGGTGTTGCAGAAACTTTAGTTTGGAAATGCAGGACAGCTCAGGGAAACGGAACTAACACTTGTAGCGGGTGCACACGCACCAAGCACTCTGAACTAGAGGTTCACGTCCCACTTCAATTCCTGACCTTCCAATACGGGCAGTGACTGAAGTTCAGAGCATCTGGATATTCGTCTCCCACAGTACCTGGGAAGTCCTGGTTGGGAGGGGGTGGGGGAGGGGGAGGGGGCTGAGACAGTCAGCATGCCCCTAGTGGGGGAAATGATAAACATGCCAGGTGTGGTATATCCCTCCTTTAGGATTTAGGGTAACACTAACACATTGTTGGGAAAATTCCCTTGATTGTGCAGAATAAAACTATTTGAAGATATTGTGCATGCATGTGGTCTATAATCTACCCTTCAACTGTGGAGAACTAATAATTAGAAGAGTATTCATTAATGGATTTTACCCAGGTTACTAGGATCATGGAGAAAAAGTTTGAAAATTTAGATTAAAAAAAAAGTTGTCAAACAAAATAACTTACTATAAGCCCAGCTGGTGTTGCTCAGTGGTTGGGCATCAACCTATGAACCAGGAGGTCACGGATTTGATTCCCAGTCAGGGCACATGCCTGGGTTGTGGACTTGATCCCCAGTGGGGGGTGTGCAGGAAGCAGCCGATCAATGATTCTCTCTCATCATTGATGTTTCTCTCTCCCTCTCCCTTCCTCTCTGAAATCAATAAAAATATAATTTAAAAAGTAACTTAATGCAAATAAATGTTAAAAACATCCTATATAATAAAGAGTAATATGCAAATTAACCCTCATGCCCTCACAAGATGGCTGCCTATGACCAAGCTGGCAGGGGGAGTTAGTGAGGGACGACCAAACGACTGAACAACCAGGCTGTGTGGGGCGACCAGGCCGGTGGGGAGGCCATGAGGGGTGACCAGGCTGGCAGGGGAGGCAGTTGGGGGCAACCAGGCCGGCAGGGGGGGCAGTTGGGGGTGACCAGGCCGGCAGGGGGGAGCAGTTAGGGGCAACCAAGCTGGCAGAGGGGGACAGTTGGGGGCAACCAGGCTGGCAGGGAGGGGGCAGTTGGGGGCGACCAGGCCGGCAGGGGGGCGCAGTTAGGGGTGACCAAGCAGCAGGCGAGTGATTAGGAGCCAGCAGTCCAGGATTGTGAGAGGGATGTCCGACTGCCGGTTTAGCCCTGATCTCTGGGATGGGGCCTAAACTGGCAGCCGGACATCCCCCAAGGGGTCCCGGATTGGAGAGGGTGCCCCCGCCCCCACCCCATGCATGAATTTCGTGTACCAGGCCTCTAGTATTTAAATAAGTATTTTTAAAATTTAGCCTCTCAAGAACTCACATTGGCTAAATATGGTATAATTTGAGCAGAAAAGGAAAACTGTTCCAAATGATTAGAACACATTAACTAAATAAAAGTCCAGGAAGCTATGAGAGGAGGGAAGTACTGGAGGTGGAGGTAGAGGGAGGGTGGGGGGAAGGGAGGGAGAGAAG